TTATTCAAGTTTTCTAGGCTTGAAAATGAACCTCAATCACCAATCTGCACAAAAACTTTTAGGAAAAAATGAGCGACGTTTCAAAAAAGTTGACATAATCCGAAAAACTCCACAGAAAGTTTTAAAAATGAAAAACTATCAGTCGTATAATTTGCAACTGAAAAAAAAACCAACAACCGGAACTTAAACGTGTGATCTCTCGCGTCCCAAAAAAAAAGAATCATACCACTAGACCAACGTCACCGCAAATACCTACAGCAGCCAGCTTTTCAAATTACATTGGCTCCAAAATCGCAAGCAATCAGAAGATTTTTAAAATACATATGGGACCACAAACCGGTTGCAACAACAAGCAAAAATTGAGAAGGCACCTAAAAAATTTATCAAATAGGTTGAAGCCAACAAAATTGTCAAAAAATGGTTAAATAATTTGATGAACCTGTGAACCTTTTGTTCAAATTTTTTAGGCTTGTAAGTGAATCCTAATCAGCAACCTGCATTCCAAGTTTTTATGAAAATTAAGCCATGTTGAGAAAATTGTAATAGAATCCGAGAAAACATATAGATGCTTAAAAAATAAAAATATCAGTCGAATCATTTGTAACTAATTAAAGAAACAACTGGGACCTAACACTAGGACCTTTCGCCTTCTAAGCAAGAATCATACCCCTAGACCACTGTTCCGGAATATCTCAACAGCAGTCAGCTTTTAAAATTATATCGGTTTCAAAATCGCAAGCAATCAGATAGTGTAAAAACACATAGGAATACAAAATAGTCGCAACATCAAGCAGAACACAGAAAAGGCACCTAAAAATTATTGAATTGGTTGACGCTACCAACTTTTTCAAAGAGTGGTTAGTTAATCTGATGAACCGGTACATCGTTTATTCAAGTTTTCTAGACTAGTAAATGAATCTTGATCACCAATCTGCATTACTAGCTTTAGGAAAAAAAATAGGTGATGTTGAGAAATATTAACCATAAACCGAGAAAACTTATAGATGATTGGAGAAGACAAAATTATCAGTCGTATGAATTGCAATTCATTAAGGAGACAGCCGGAACTTGCTCTTGCACCCGAATCGAAAATTATTTTTCTAGACCAGTGTCCCCAAAAGCGTTGGCAGCAGTCAGGTTTTTAGATTACATCGGCTTCGAAATCCAAGGAATTTAGATAGTAGATAGTGTTTTAAACTAAAACATAGTTCAGGACACAAAATGGTCGCAATAACCAGCAAAATAGGTTGAAGCTGCCAAATTTATCAAGGAGTCGTTTGAGAATCTGATGAACCTGTACATCTTTTCTATCTAGGTTTTTAAATAGAGCTTAATCAGCATTCTTCATTCTAAAAACTTAAGCATAAAATAGGTGATGTTCAGAAAAGTTTTGCATAATTAAAAAAAATTTAACCCTATAAGTAATTTAAAAAGTATCAGTGGTATTTTCAATTAAAAGATCGGACATCCGGGACTTGACCCGGGGTCTCTCTAACCCGAAGCGAGAATCATACCCCTAGACCACCGTCCCCAGAAACGTTGACAGGAATTAGGATTTCAGATTACATTGGCTTCAAAATAGCATGCAATTATATAGTGTATTAAATTACTTAGTACTATCAAATGTTTAAAAAAAAGCTATAAATTGAGAATGCACCTATAAAAAAACTAATACGATGAACTTATCAAACTTTCAGATAGTGGTTAGATAATCGGATGAATCGGATAATCAATTATTCAATTTTTTAGGCTTGTAAAAAAGCCTAATCAACAATCTGTACGGTGATGTTGCGATAAACTTAACATAGCCCAAAAAGAAATAATTTAAGTGGTTTCATTTCAAGAACTTGCAATTCAAGAAGGGGATAGCCAGGATTTGAACCCGGGACTTCTTAATGCTTAAATGAGATTCATATTCCTTGATAACTGTCCTGAGAATCTCAACGGCAGTCAGATTTTCATATTACATTGGTTTCAAAATCGCAAGCATTTAAATACTATATTAAAATACATATGAGACCACAAAATAGTCGCAACAACAAGCAAAAAATCGAGAAAGTGCCTATAAAAACATCAATTAAGTTGAAGATACCAATCTATCTGATGGTACGTTTATAACTTGTTGAAAATATTTACTAATACTTTTATCTTTCTAGGCTTGTGAATCAATTCTAATCAGCAACATGCCAAGTTTTTGGCAAAAATTAGGAGGGCGATGTCGAAATTTTTTTTATATATCTGAGAAAATTTAAAGATGATCAAAAGAGAAAAACCATCATACGCATAATTTGACAGCCGGGTGAGAATCCTTGTTCTAGAGCACTGTCTCCAAAAGTTTTGATAGCAATCAAGATTTCAGTATACATCGGCTTCAAAATAGTAAACAATTAGATAAACTATTAAAAACATAGGACTGGAAAATGGTAGCAAAAACCAGCAAAAAATTAGAAGGCAATTATTTAAAAACAAGAAAAAAATCAAGATAGAAAATTTATCGAAGAGTGGTTAGATAACATGATGAACCTGTATTCAAATTCTTAGAAAAAATTAGGTGATAATGAAACATAATCACATAGTCCAAAAAATCTGTAGATGATCATAAAGTATCAGTCGTATTTGCAACTTTTTAACCGGACAGCCGGGTCTTGAACCCCGGGCCCTTTGTAACGCGAAGCGAGAACCAAATACCCAGACCACTGTCCCCGAAAATTCAGATAGCAGCCAGGTGTTTCTTATTAAAACGGCTTCAAAATTGAAGCATTTAGGTAGTGTTTTAAAATACATATGAAACCACAAATTGGTCGCAACAACAAGCAAATTTGTCGCAACAAAAATTGAGAATAAACCTGTAAAAAAAATCAAATTGTTGAAGCAACCAATTATATCAGATAGTGGTTAGAAAAGGATTCGAGGCTTGGAAATTAACCTTGAAGAGCAATCTGCACTCCAAACCTGGAGGAAAATTTAGGTGATATGCCAAAAAAATTTGGCATAATCAGAAAAAAATATCAGTTGTACAATTTACAATTCAATAAGAGGACAGCTAGGACTTGAACCCGCGACCTCTGACAACCCAAGCGAGAATCATAGCCCTAGATCACTCTCCCCGTCATTTTTCAGCAGCAGTCAGGTTTGATATTGCGTCTGATTCAAAATAGAAAGCAGTCGGATAGTGAATTATTAAACATATGAGACTACAAACACGGTCACGCAAATGAGCAAAGTTTTAAGGAGATATCTGAAAACAAAAATAAATTTTCTGGAGCCACCAAATTTATTAAATTGTAGCTCTGATGGACATGTAGACTATGTTTCAAGTTTTCTAGCTTAGCAAAAATACAAATGAACATTTCACGCCAAATCTCTACAAGCGAGAAGCACTCGAAGCGAGAATCAGACCCCCCAAAACACAACTAAAATTTTTAAATAATTGAGTATTTTTTAAGTTTCTTGATATGGCACCTGCAAACATGGGGCTTTGAAAAGGCAACTGCGAACAGGCTTTTAGCCTTACGATGGCCATTTGAATCGACACTATCAAAATTGTACATATATAACAAATCATTTCTGTAATATGCTCGATTCACAAACGAAATTATTATTACGATATTTCAGAACTTCTCTGGCTTAATCAAATTGAATTGGAGCGACACTCCGATTAACGTTATGATCAAAATAGCTATTTTTCTTTTTATCTGTACTTGTGGTTCTACTGGGGGAATTCTTTATTTAAAATGATCCTTGCGTTGGCATCCAGTTTTTTTTAAACTACACCAAGAGTTCAGGTATTTCGCTATCAAGAATTCAGGTAAGCTGCTAAATTTTTCAGAAAAGCTTGATTAAAAAATATATTGACATTATCTGAAAAAGACTGAAACGGAAACCAATCCACCCGAAATGAGAATCTAGCCCTACACCATGCGCGAATCTATGATACTCTACGCGAAAGGAGTGGTCGGATGTTCAAAATAAACTTATGTGTCGACTGTGATGCTTTTTCCGAGTTTGAGATCCTGAGGAAAGAATTTGTTCAAACATTCAGAATTCGTTTTAAAAATAGATATGTAAGCAAGGACAGCCGGTTAATGTGCAAATAGCACATAATGTTCTGACCTATCCTGTAGAAAACTACGGTTTAGAAAGTTTTCCCAAATTAGAGTAGTTTTTTTTGCTTGGAGTGATAAAAGGATCTGACGTAAGAATTTAATTTAAGCATATTAGACTGCCATAGTAATATAGGCAAATTGGACAAAAATTTTTTGTAGAAAATGATTAGAAAAACTTTAAAAAAAGTAGGAAAAAGTTTTTTTTTCAAAATTTTTTGCAGAAAAATTTTGAAGTTTATGAAGTTTTGGTTCTCAAAATGAAGCTAAGAACCTGCAAAAACGAGTTTTACTTGCTAAAATTAAGTTTTAGGGTCTTTAATTAGGCATACTTCAGCTGTTGTAAGCCTGCTCGCTTGCTTTATTTGTTCGAATTAAGACGAAAAATCAAAAATTGCAAACCGGTTTTTCTCGACACTGCGAAAACTTTTTCAAAATTTTTAAATGTTCGAATCACGACTGAAAAGGCTTCAATATGATAGATCACTCAATCCAGTCAGATGATTATTTGTGGCACCTAATTTTAAGTGGAAACAAAAAGCAAAAAAAATTAAAACTCACCCGAATCCAAAATTCCTCCCTATTAGTGTGGTTCGAATCACGACTGAAAGGGCTTGAATATGATATATCTTTCAACCCAGTCCGATCATTATTTGTGGTACCTGACTTTGCATAGAAAACAAAAAGAAAAAACTAAACCACACCCGAATACAAAGTTACTCCCCATTTTCAATGGTCGAAACAAAAACTGATTTTGGTGAAATTTGGCTGATCAAACAACTGAGATATTGAAATCTTTGAACAACTGAGATATAGGAGACTACGATTAAGCTGGTCTTTTTACATTTTTTGACGTTTTTATTTATGCGAGGAAAAATATGCCAATCCCCCCGTTACCTCTGCATTGATGTCTGTAGAAGAGCACAGCACCCCCGACAGCAGTGAGACAAACACCCCTTTGGGCAGATCCTGCACAGTTACCACTTTCCACCCGCCTTGTGGCTGACTCCTCGGGTGGGAATCCCGCTGCAGACTCAGTTTCACCCTCACTCCCCCCTGCGACAGTCGGTTGCTGCAGTTGGCCCGACAACGACACCCTAGTCCACACTCGAAGATGCTAAATGGAAACATAACCAACAGCTAGTTCAACTTTCCAATTTCGAAAAAGTATATATATCAAAAGAAAACTCTTTGAATTTTGAAAACAGTTTTTTTATTTCCCGAAAAAACTGGATCTTTTGGTGAAAATAAAACTCCATTATTGAAAATAGAAATGAATCAAGTTTTTTGTGACCTTCACAATTTTGCTATTCGAAAGTGGACTTGGTGATCGCTCGACTAGCATAAAAGTTTCAAAACCTGAAAATGTATCGACTAGTTGAAACTTGCTTTTTTTAGAAATTGAAAACTTAGCTTAATAAAATTGGATAAATTAAGCAACCAACAAGCAAATGAAATTTCTTAATTTTAAGAAAAGTTTTGATCAGTCACACACCGTCTAATGGCTGTGACTTATGGTTTTTTTTGTATAATCAGGGATGGGGAGGAAATCTAAGATTTTCTCGAGTGGGGGTGATTTTCAAAAAATTCTCGAATATCATTATAAGGACCCTATTTAACCAAATTTTCTGCGCGACAGGCAAAATTTTGAGAGAACAGGTCAGAAAAGGGCATTTTTTATAGCGCGTTCCCGCTCAAAATTAAAATATATATTGGCGCCAAGGGCGCTCTTAGAAAAATTTCACAGTCCGCCTCCACCCCTAAATTCTCGCACCTGTGTGTAATGATTTTTAAAAATTTCACAAAAACTGACGGATATCATTAACTATCCCCCCTTTTACCAAGGGGGATTTGATACTAGGTAAAAAAGTTACATATGCTTAACCATTGAATTATTTCTTTATAGGGGTGGCATTTCGATACTAGTTACCCTAGGGGGATAGTTACAGAGATCCAATTTGACTTAAATGTTTGATATTTAAACTAGTCAATACGATTTTCAGTTTTAAAGTTCTTATGCTAGTCGAGCTTCATACTAGTCGATGCACCGCCGGTGGACTTTACCTTCCCGGGTTGACGTCCATAGAACGAAAGCCCTTATCATACAATTTCATATATGTCGTCTATGGTAAAAATGCTTATCATACAATTTTCAACTGTTTTAAAGACTTTTAACACAGATTTTTCGTCTATTTGGCTCATTTGAAGCTTTCTGGTCATGTAAAAAAAATGATAAAAAATTTTGGATGAAAAAAATGCTCATCTAACACTTTTCATGGATGAAGATACATGTTTCGGTAATTGCAAATGAGGTTAATGAAGGCAGTCAATGACAAAGAGGAATTTAACTATGAAAAACATGATTTTAGTTTTGTTCGAAAAAAATGTTTATCATATAACTTTGATATTTTACAATAAGCATTTTTACATTAAGTTCAAAAATCAATTGAAACTTTGTTGGGGCAATTTTAAATGAGTTTAATAGAGGTTTTCAGTGATTGAGGTCAGCTTACTGTCAAAAAGATAATTTCAGCTTCGGTCGGAAAAAACGCTTGTCATATAGTTTTCATGAATGAAAAAATTATGATATGCATTTTTGTGTAGAAACCAATTTTTAATGAGGTAGAAAATTTTTAATCTCTTTTTTGGTTGCAAACTTGTTTTTGTGGTCAAATATATATTTCACGAAAAAAAAATTTGCGAGGAAAATTGCAAGAACTTTTTGTGTTTTTGTAACGTATTCCAGGATAATTTTTTCACCCAAAAAAATTATGATTATGATTTTTTGTTTCATATGGTAAAATAAAGATAAATTTGTAAGAAAAACAGGGCTTTTTCTCAGCCACCAAAATTTTCAAACTAAACATTATCTAGGTATATACAAAAAATTACATTTTTGCTATATAATTATATGTTAAAATGTTAAAGTCATCAAATGCAGTTTATCTGCGTGGTAACTGCCAGTTAAACTCTGCGTTGGCTTATGACAAAAACCCTTGGTCAGTTGTTTCTGGTTGAGGGAGGGGCAAACGATAAGAAACCTCGGTACCCATACCCAAGGGGTTTTCTGTGCAAGATCTGAAATTCTTTATTTTTTACATAAGTTGATTCTCAGATCTGAAATTCTTTACTTTGAATCTTAATAAAAATTTGAAAATTTCAGATGTAAAATTTGGATCTGATATAAAAAATTTCAAATCTGAATTAACCTTGAAAAACCAAATTTCAGATTTGAAATTAGATCTGAGAAATTCTTTGTTGAAATATGATTTATGCATTTCGAGCAAACATTTGAGTTTTTATTTTTTGATGTTTCTGCAAAACACAATCATGTTTAGATGAACTAGTGGTTAAGATTATTCCAGATCTGTATTAGAGCTTTTATTATATACGGGCAGGGGCGGATCTAGGATTTTCTCATGGGGGTGGGCAGATTTTCTATAAAAAATTCAAAAATTTTAACGACTTTTTTTTGGTTGGCAAAATTGATTTTCTAAGCTCTCCTAAAGCACTAAAAAGACACTGTCTCGACCAAATTTTCTGCGTCGCAGCCAAATTTTGAAAAAACAGGTAAAAGAAGCCGTTTTTGCGTTCTTTTTGGCGCGCGCTCCCTCTCAAAATCAGTATATTTTGACGCCAAAGGCGCCTTTAGAAAGTTTTTAGGGTCGGTCGGTCAAAAATGGATTTCTTAAAAAGTACCAAAAAGCTGACCTTTTGGGTTGACAGGGTCGAACCCATGAGGGGAGGGGGCGTCCGCTAACCCCCCCCCCCCCCCCCCCCCCTCTCCCTAAACCCGCACCTGGGTTCGGGAAGGGTCATGATGACTAATGAACGTGGAAAAAAGCTCAAAAGTGTGGGAAAAATTCCGGGATTTCGTTCCCATGACTTTGTTACCCGCACTGGCTGGCAAAATTAAAATTGCAATCGATTTTCCCTAATAAATTATACAAAAACACAAAAAAACAAAAAAAGTAAAATTTTGTTGCACATTTTGATACCATCTACAAATTATCAAAAGTTCATATACAGACTTTATACAGATCATATACAGATTTTATACTTTGAATACACCAATTTTGTGCGTTTTTTCACATTCCCGGGTTGACCTCCATACACCGAAAATGCTTATCATACAATTCCTTACAATAAAAATTCGTATCATACAATTCAATACATCAAATCTATGAATTTTCATCAAATTTATGAATCATAAAATTTTCATACATTTCCAAAAAAACAATTGAAAAAAAATTAAATGATTTTTGCGGCTTTTTGAGCACAGTTGAACAGTCCGCTGATAGAAAAAACTGGCCTTATTTTTGTTTGAAAAACATGCTTGCCATACATTTTTCATATATGAAAATTGTATGACAAGCATTTTTACCATAAGGAGTAATTTTTTCGGAATCTTTTTGAACACTGGTTGTTGGAAACCTCAAATTAGTTGGTAGCAGTTTCTAAAAAAATGAGAGAAATTTGCCATTGAATATGAAAAAACAATTTGAAAAAAAAATATATATATATATATATATATTTATTTTTTTCCCTTGTATAAAAATACTCTTCTTGACTTTTTCAAAGAGTAAAATAATTGTTTCTATTGAATGTTTGACTTAACAAAATATGATTCTTACTCAAAATCTTTGATATTTTTACTGTAACGTGAAATCCAATTAGATCAAATGTTAGAATAGTGCACTACTACACAAAAACCTGGGTTCTTTTAGCAGTTTTTTGGAATAAAAAACTTCAAAACATCAAAAATTACGAAAAAAAAACTTGGAAAAACTTTTGAATTTTTTTCGTTTTTAGTCATTTTTACAAAAAAATTATTTTCCACTTTGCTTATTTGACCATGACGGTGAATATGGCTAAGTTCTAGTTTTTTTTTCAGATCCAGGTTGTTTTTGGCATTGGTAAAACAAGTTATGTGTCTCTCTCTATGGTGTATCGCACTTTTCTTTACTGCTCTGCATCGAAAAGTTAAGTGGTGCAAAGCTCCTCTTACTCTGTGTTTAATTTTGCGAAGTTAATGGCTTGAGCTTTTGATTACTTAGTTGATTTGTTCATAATTGTAATGTCGAAAAATCAAACTTGGTTTTGAAAGGTTAAAACTGATTTTTAAGATCATCATAGAAGTCATAAATGAGAAGACCTTGTCGAAAGTTAGCCAAGGGATGGCCTTCAGAAGCACTATGCTGCGCTGATTTACAAGGTAAAAACAGCAGAGCTTTCGATCACCATTGCTTGGATAACTAGCAAGTCTTCTCATAAATGAATCCCAGGGTGACCGCAAAATTTCAATTTTGTCATTTGTGTAGAGTTTCTTAACTTTTGTCGGAAAATAACTTCAGATTTATAATATATATGTTTTCGATTCTGTCGATTTTTTTTCTGATTTCTCGCACATGTTATAATGTTCTTTATACAAAATGCAGTAGTGGATGTCAGAAGTAGTGAATTTACGATATTGGGGAGATTTGCCGGAAATTTTATCCCAAATATGCAGGTTCGTTTTAAAATTTTGATATAACTCTCTCTCCAGTACTCCCCTCTAAGGATTATGATTAGGACCTTGCTGCTATCTAAAGAGTTGAGAAGATTTCATGCAGAAAACTAAGAAACTGAGATTGCAACTTCTAATTTTTTTCTCATGTTTTCTTCTCTATTCAGAGATTTCACGGCTTATTAGATGAGCTTTAATGTAATTTGTGGCTCACTTGAAAAAAAATCCGAACTCATTGTCATACAATTTTCATAAATGACAAATTTTTAGTCATACAATTTCCATTTTTGGCAAAATGTTAGTCATACATGTTTTATTTATGGGAAAATCTTTATTATAGAGATTTCATACAATTTTCTGTACGTATGGAACTCTATCGAATTGAACGACAAAAATTTCCCATTTATGAGAATTGTATGATAAGCATTTTGGTCAACCCGGGTTATTTCTACACGTAATAAATTTTTTATAAACAGATAATAAATTGACTATTTTGACTATCAACTAATAAAAGCGAATTTTTAACCTGTGAATATTCATTCACAGGTTAAAAATTCTGCATAAACCTAGCAGTTAATTCATAAATTAACTTTCTGATTTTTAGTTGATTTTTGTGCTTGAACTGAAAAAATATTTAAAAAACCAATTATATGCGAAAACTTCAGACAAAATCTTTTTCAATGTTGATCTTAGAACTAGCCTTTGAAGAAATGTCTCCAAAATGAACATTTTCCTACCACAGGAATCATTCCGTAGATTGCAAAAACTTACAGGGATCTCCTGAAGCTTACGATTTGCGGTAAACATTCCTCATCAAGTGATATTAGCTCATTATAGCACTGAAGGAGGTTTTTCTTGAATTTAAATGTATGATAGTTTTTATCAAAAAACTTCATTAAACTAAGCTTTTTTTCGGGTTTTTATAAAACCTGGTTCAAAGCAGAAAAACAAAACATTTCTTCGACATTGTATCCCTTCTTGGAATCAATATAACCGACTTTAATCAGATTCTGGGGGATTTTATACAAATTCCATACAGATTTTATACTGCAAATTATAATCAGTTTTTCAGACGTTTTAATCCATTTTTTAAGCTGTAAAAAGTCCCTATATGATCAATGCTCCAAAATCGCCCCTGGCTGTGAGACCCTTTTTTTGAACTCGCTTTTATATAGACCCAAATATCATACTAGTACTTCAACATGCAATAAAACGAAGAAAAAACAGTCAAGGAACCAAAAAAAAACTTGTTCAATGAATACCTGAAATATAGTAAAAACAATCTTGGCTCGACAAGAAGGGGACAGCCGGGACTTGAACCCGGGACCTCTCGCACCCGAAGCGAGAATCATACCCCTAGACCACTGTCCCGTGATCCATTAGACTCACCCCGTGAAGAGGACATCGCGTAAAATTCCGTTCACGTAGCCGACAGATCTTGTGGCACCATCCTCTGCTGAATTCTGTTGAAACTGTCCGATTGTTGCTTGAATACATGCGCACTTCTTCGGATCCTGAAAACGGTGAAGCCAATAAAAACCTCAATCAAGAACAGCAAAAAATCTGACCTCACGCACGAAAAATCAGGGGCTCAACATGGGGTCTTATAGTGATTTGGGGGAGCTCAGAAAATCAATTGGTCGACCTAAAAAAGCGATCGACAAAATTTTCGATTTTTTTTTCTTCAAAATCTCCCTACCCCTCGCGAAAATCCTAGATCCGCTCTTGCCCACACACCCAAAAAGTTGCAATGGGTGTGCGAGAAAAATGCTGTATTCCGATTGGCTGAAAATTCGAACTCAGAATTTAGAACCAAGTTAACATCCTCCCCTGAACTGATTTGCTGGGACAATAATAACTTAGTCCATGTTAAATAGAGCAAAACTCGCAGTTCAAATCCTATTCGACAATGTTTCCGCATTCTTGAAGGTATTATTTAGCATGAAAAAAAAGCTTTCAAATGTACAAAACAAAAAAAAACATTTCAGCACAACGAAGCAAACCTCAATTTTTTTGACAATATTTGCTCAAACTATTTCCCCTCTCCTATTGCACATTGTGGATATTCATTCACAGGTTAAAAATTCCGCATAATCCTAGCCGTTAATTCATAACTTATGGGTTGCTTGTTTTTACATAAAATATTGAGATGGGGGACTGGAACTAAGAGTAGTTTCTGATAAAATAAAAAATCTGCTCGTCACGCTAACTAAATATGTTTGTAAAAACTTTATTGCCATATGAAGCCTACAGTTTTTACAAAAGCTTGAGGCGAAGTAAAAAAAAGGATAAAAATCAGGTATCATACATCCAGTTTTTACCAAAGTTTTTACCGATAGTTCTGAACAATTTGAATTCTAGTCATCACTGGTGAGTTCGCGGATTTTGCGATGTCGCAGAGGGCAAGTGTAGCTGCGTGAAAATGTCTCTTAGCCATTCCGGAGAAAGAATACGTCAAAATTTCCCAAGGTGAATCCTGGGAGTAAGGTATATATCAAGCAGATCGAGAGGCGTACATCGCTAGAGAATCTTGTGATGGTATTGATCGGTTTCAGTAGTCTTTGACTATATCGACTTTAATATAACTCTAATTTTGCGGTAGGAGATATTTTCGAATCCCAGTGATGGTGAAATGTTGTCGCCATCAAAAAATGCTAGTCATAGAACTTCCATCTATGGAACTGGTATGATAAGCATTTTTGTTGACAAAATTTTTTCTTTTTTTACTCATTAAGGAACACCGAATTTCATATCGGAACAAAAGAAATTTCTTTGAAAAATCGATGACTTCATTTAGCAAAATGTTTGAAATTTGTATGATTCGTATTTTTTCATAGACTTAATTTATGGAATAATATGATTAGCATTTTTGGTCCATGGAGGTCAAACTGGGTTGACACAGACATTAAAAATCAGTTTTTATAAAGTCAATAAAATGGAGTGATTTCATAAGATTTCACTTATCGTTATTCCGTTTTTCGAGTGTATTTAAGCGCGAGATTTCGTTCAGTTTTGGAACCCAGTTAATCTGAAGCTTTTCTGGCATAATTTTGTATGTACTTGTTTGAATATTGCATTTCAATCAAGGTAATGAAAAAACGTGAGCAAACGGAAAGTAGCGCAGTGAAACACACAAATTGCTAATGGAACAAAGGTTTAGCAAACCCTTTCCCGCGCAAAAGGTGTAACCACAACGTTCAGTGGGAAACTCAAAAATATACCGGAGTTTTACAAGTGAACTATTAGTTTAAAAAATACCTGGTGACAATTAGGATTATTACATGGTGACTTCTGCATATGAATTAATACATAAAAAATGCCTTAGGAAATTAAACCGTAACCGAGTCTTTGTTGTCTTTTGAGATATCATAAAATCCCTCCTTTTCGAATAATGCATAGTTCTGTATGGTTTGTATTTACTTCAGTTTGTAGATGAAGCAAATTGCTTGTTGCATTTTTTGCGATTTTGCAGATATTATTTGGTTTAAACTATTTTTTTGAAGTTCAAGTTTGCTGATTTTTTCTTTCCACCTTCAATTATTTTTTCAATTTTCAACACTTTGAAAACTAGTGCAAGCGACAATTGAATTGAAGCGTTTAGTTCCAAAACCCTATACAGTATTCTTCTGGCTAAAAGACTTATTACCAACAATCTATAGCTGCTATTAGATTGAACAACCTCATAAAATTAGCTAAAACTCACCCTCGGGAAAATTAAACCATTTGTTCAAAACTTTTTTTACAAATTAGCCAAAATTTGCCCTCTCCTACCCCTGATTCCAACCTTGATCGCAAGCGTTGAATTAACTTGGAAAAAGTCCACAAATGGTAAACAAAACGATAGTTAAAATTGCGTTTATGCTCAAATATATAAAAAAAACTTGAGTGTAGAAAATGGTAAAAACTTGAAGAACCAGTTAGATGCAGCTCAATTGAGCTTGTTTGAAAACTAATTAAAAGAATTGCTTGGTTTAGGCCAAACCAAAAAATGACGAAATTTGAAACCAAAGTTCTGTTACAAAGTCGAGATCGCTTAACAGTCTGCTTTTGATACCTAGTAAGGAATGGCTCATTTTTTTCCACAATCATTTTTCTTTCCTTTTCGAGAACTTGTTTTTCATGCTTCAAAGTTATTGAAATTGACATTTAAATTATTAGGTTTGTTTCCAATGCTATATAACGTTTTCCTTTGCCTTAGGAACATATTATCGATAATTACACCTGATATGATATCGAACTACTTCAACATAAAATTTAAGCCTCACCATTTAAAAAATAAAGCCAATTCCCTATTAAAAAATTAGCCAAAAATTTGCCAAAAACAGTCTAAGAGTTTCAGAAAAGGCCTTAAAAAATGAACCATAATAGAGTCTTTGTTGTCTTTTGAGATATCATAAAATACCCCTTCTCGAGAAAACACTAGCTCCGCTTCTGTATGGTTTGTAGTTACTTCAATTTGTATGAAGCAAATTGCTGCTTGCATTTTTTTTGTGATTTTGCAGATATTAATTGGTTTATTCTGTTTTTCTCAAAGTTCAGTTTTGCTGGTTTTTTCTTTCCACCTCCATTTTTCTTTAAACCTTCAGCAATTTATTTTTCGGCCTTGAAAACTAACAAAAGCGACGCTTGAATTAGAGCGTTTAGCTCCAAAACCCTAGACTGTATTCTTTTGGCTAAAGAACGTATTACCAACAATCTACAGTTGCTATCAGATCGAACCATTTAGTAAAATTAGCTTCACTTTTGGCAAAACTAAACCATTTGCTCAAAATTTCTTTAAAATTTAGCCAAAAATTGCGCTCCCCCATCCCCGATTCCCACCGTGATCCCAAGCATAGAATTAACTTGGAAATAGGTCACAAATTTGAACAAAACGATAATTAAAAATGCGTTTATGTTCACATGTATGAATTTTTTTCAAAGTAGAATACGGCAAAAAATTTGACAGCCAAAACTATAGTTCCTAAACCATATATGGTTTTTTTGGCTTAGCAACTTACTACCAATAAACTACCCCTGAAAGGAGATCGAACCACTTCATGGTAAGAGTTAAGACTGACAGTTTTAAATCAGTAAATCAATTTCTTTACAAAATTAGAAAAATTAGCCAAAAATTTGCCCCTCCCCTAAATTAAAAGCCACCTCTCATCCCTAGCGTTGAATCAACTTGGAAAAATGTCGACAAATTGAGAACAAAACGACAAATAAAAATGCATTTATGCTCAAATGTATTAATTTTTGTGTGTGGAAATTGAAAAAAATTTAGAGAAGCAGCTTAGTTGAGCCTGTTTGAAGCTTAATTAAAAGAGTTGCTGGGTTTTGGCCCATCCATTAAATGACGAAAACGGGAACTAACGTTTTGTTACAGAGTTGAGATCTCTTTAACTGTCTGATTTGGGTACTTAGTAACGAATTGATACCCCCATATTGAACTAATTCAACGGTTCAGCGTATGTGAACTTTGTAGCCGGGAACGAACATTTTCTTTACAAAAATGGAGGGATGTGTTAACTCAAAGAGCTCCCAAAATTGCATCGTTTTTACATACTAGGACAGCCATGATAAAAAAATGAGACTAGTCAAGTCGAAACACTTTTTTTAAATGAGTTTTTTTAACTCACTTTGTCTGCTTTTTGACGCGTATTTTTCAAAATTTTTAGACCAAATGCCATAAAAGTTTCGTTTAAATTGTCTTTTTGCACTAATCTAGGCTGCCCGCGTTACATAACTATAGGAAAATTCTGAAATTACGGCCAGAAATTTAAGAAAATTCAAGGCAATCCGGGATATTTTTTGGGTTAATCTATTTTCCGTAAAAATCATTTTACTAATTTTTTCCACAATCAATTTCACATTCCTTCTTAAAAAATTTGATTTTCAGGCTTTGAAACTATAGAAACTTACATTTAAATTATTGCGTTTATTTCCAAGGCTATATACTGCTTTCTTTTGGCTTAGGAACATGATATCGATGATTACATCTGATATGAGATCGAACCATTTCAAAATGAAAATTAAACCCAACCCTCTGAAAAATAAAGCCATTTTCGAAAAAAAAAATTCGCCAAAAATTTGCCATAAAAAGTTAAAAATTCAAAGAAGCCTTACAAAAATGGGCCATAATAGAGACTTTGTTGTCTTTTGAGATATCATACGAACCCTTTCTCGAGAAAACCTTATCTCCTCTTCTTTATGGTTTGTAGTTACTTCAATTTGAATATGAAGCAAATTTCTTCTGGCATTTTTTTGTGTTTCTGCATATATTATTTTATTCAGCCATTTAATTTTCAGCCTTAAAAACTAGTAAAAGCGACGTTTTGAATTTAAGCGTTTAGTTCCAAAACCCTATACTGTATTCTTTTGGCTAAAGATTGTATTACTAACGAGCTACAGTTGCTATCAGATCAAACTATTTAGTACAATTAGTTAAGCCTCACCCTTGGGAATATTAAACCATTTGTTCAAAAAAAATTTTTTAAATTAGCCAGAAATTGCGCTCCCCCGCCCGATTTCA